CAGTATAGTGTCAAGTGATATCACGCCGTTTCTGCGATGATATTTACATGTCAATACATTCTCGAGCCGATTCCGCGATATTTTACGTTCTCGGGCCGTTTCTGCGAGGGTCTTCATATATACATATCAAGAAACATCATCGTGTGAAATAACGAAACGGCACACAACTATGTACCCAGTTGCAATCCGATGTACCTGTTGTGCCAGTCTGGATATAGTCTCAAACAAGCCCAGTGTCTGCACCAGCTCAACCTTCTCATCGGGGTTCATGCCTTTGATCACCAAACACCCCACACAGTGACACGCAGCTATGCGAAGGTCAGGGATGCTCAGGAACTGAAAGATCAGCGGAATAAACCGATCGTTGACGATCAATCCGGTGTCAATCCAGCTGATATACTGACCAATAACAGTCAGGGTTTCTGTTACCAAGGCAACGTTGGATTGGTGTTGCACCAGTATGAATGCCCAGGCCTGGGGACAGAAATTAAAGGTAAATGTGTGGGTGGAGGGTTTAGCAATTTCAGCGAGTGGGACATTTGGGACATTCTTGCCTAACAAAACTCATGAGCGATATATCGATAGAACACACTGTGAACCGCAGCCATTATTAAGCGAGCAAAGTCAGTACATTAACGTGCACACATCACGTAAACGCGACTGTGCAAGTGCCACCGCAGCATTTGCATATACCAGCAACGCACACACATTCAAGCCACTATCACGTATCCCAGTGGCACCAACGTATTACAATATGCTAAAACGTTTAACGACCCAACAGAACTGAGCGGATACTCGGAGTACACACTACATACATCGACCATCATATTGACGCAGGCGTCTCTCATAGTGTCCTTCAGATCGACTGACAGTTTGCAATCCGCCTCACTACGACTCACATCGCGGATGACGATCTCTGTATAAATAAGATACATGTGCAAGTGGTGCCAGTTATGAGTGAGCTGAAAGATGTACGTGTGATATAAGGAGCAGGTAATGACAAAGCATACGGGTTTACTTGCGCACTCAACCTTCCTAGTTTTCAAAATCATGCACACTTGAACTCACAAATACCGTTACAGAACATTAGGCATGTGTATGCAGACCGTTTAAGAATGTATATACACATAACATATAAATATATATATATATGTGTGTGTGTGTGTGTGTGTTT